AATGAATTTATAGTAGACAGGAGGTTGGAGAGTTTTGTGTATTGAATGATGAGCTCGGAGCAATGGTTACAAAGTAGACCGCTATGTGATAGACCAAACAAATCTCGGTCTATCTGATTGCCGAATATAAAATACGTAGTAGACCGGATAAATCCCGGGCTACTAATTCGATGCAAACTGATAGAAATGGAAAGTGTTTACAAGGTATGTTTTCCGGTCGGCGGTGTCCTCCCCGTGAGCTTTTAGGCGGAGTTAGAATCCTGAACAGAAAAGTTATGGTCCCTTGTACTCTTTTTAAGGAATGTAGAAGATGATTGGTCACATCACTTTGTACCTCTATTTATAGTACAAGGTTGAGGATGCATCCTAGATTTTATTAACTGTAGTTGCCAAATCTGACCCATGTTTAACTAGACCGCGATTACTGTTTGAGTTGAGCTTCCACTGTTTACGGGCTGCAGTTCGTACGGGCCACAAAATCAGTTGGGACGCAGGTGCAGGCCCAACAGTAGCCCGCAAGTCGGTAAAAAAGTGGGTCGACTTTTTGCCGTCTTTTGTTGCGCATTCCAGGCCCAAAACGGATGAAACCCAGCTCGAAATCGTGCCCTGATTGGTCCGCTGTGCCGCCCTAGCGTTTCACCCGAGGTGCGACGCTTCGTCTCCCGGTCTGAGTCCATAAAAGAGAGCTCTCTGCTTCCTTTCCCTTCATTTCACTTCTGCTTGCTTCTCTCTCTAAAGGTATTTTCTCCTCCCTTCTCTCTAGATTTTCTGTTTAGGTAGATTTCTTCGGTCCCATCAGAGAGAGTCCGTTGCTTTGGTTTGAGTTTTTCGATCAATCTTCATCGTCTCCGCTTGAATTTCCTGGTCGATCTTCATAGAATCTGCTGTCTTGTTTAATTGATGTCCTCCCCGATCCAGATCGACTCTCACGACGAAAATCTTTTAGGTCAGAATCCAGTCAGCTCGTCTTCTGCGTTTACTTCTCGTGGATTATCCTTGATGGAGGCTCAAACCCTTGCTCTTGTTCACAAGGCCCGTCTCTCAAGGAAAGACGATGCAGAGTCCAGCTTGGTCGTGGGCCCATGGTCTAATCGACACCCCGTTGAGACCGGGACCCCCAAGGCCACTGGGTCTTCCAAAGTCGGAGGGTCCATTCCCCCGGGGCTCGGCGTAGCCGTGCGCGACCTAATCGCGGCTCTGCTTGGACCGTTGACAAAATGAATCCCGATTCCTTTGGTCTGTCGATTTCCACTCCGAACAGGCGGGACTCT